GGGTATTGAACCTGGAAAGTCCTTGAAAGGTCCTTGAATTTAAAGTTAACCAAGATGTGGGAACCCTGTAAAACTCAAGTAAAGCACAGATACTTAAAAAGTGTCCTTAAGGACAGTACTCAAGTAAATTTACTCTAGGGGGTTACCCATAATCCGGATCTTTCTTCTGACTTTCCTTTTCAACTCATCATGAGAAATGCCAGTCATTCCTCAACACCATATATAACATAAGGGAAGTTTTTTAGAGTTGAATACAGATGAAGTTTATGTGCTTTATGTGTTGTTTATTGTTGCGCGTGGGCGTGTTTGTGCAGAATTCCTTGCCTTCCTGAGCTTTGCCCTGGAGATTCTCACACAATGAACAGGTGTAAAGTTGGGAAACTGGTTCTCTCTCTGTTTCATAGTCCTGTGAACAGAACTAGGATCTGTGCTAGACTGATTCAAGCTGACTCTTAATATTATTCATTGCCTCCAATTTTTTCTAAAGCCATAATCTTTCTAGATAACGTTCAACATCCATTGGTATGTGTGTAGCCCCTTCAAGCCATAGGTTTTAAAGTGTTGATGTCAAATCTGTTTCAGCTTGCCTGTTTTATAGCAAAGATTTTTCTGTATCGAGGGGTTTCAAGTACGCTACTCTACAGAGGAATTTTGACTGAGCGTCTGACATGACTTTAAATTGGACTGAAAGACTGTATAGATTGATTATCTGTTCTCAATGTTGTGCGTTTACACTGCAGTGGTACTGTAACCTGTTAGAACTTTATTTTTTGGGCAAAAGTGAAAGAAGACATTTCTAAATTAGAATGATAATTTGAATGCGGCAAGTGACCCAAAGCATTGTGACCACTGGGAATTAAACTCTAGTTTGCACCATGAATTCAAAACTAGTGTGAAAACAATCTCAAATAAATTTTGCTTTAAAGATGCATAGATCAAATTTAAAGTGATTGACAACATGGATGGCTTTTAATGCTGCAGCTTTCCATGATATCAGCTTTGGGAGCCGTAAGATTTTAAGAAATGTTATATTATTGATCGATCAATGCAGCAATTGTACCTCTGATTAACTGCTGAATTAGCAAATATTATGTTACTGTTATGTGATATAGGTGTGGCAGGCAGAGGCCTTTCTTACGCATTTGTTAAAATCACTAAAAATCGAAACAGATTGTGTGCACTTTTCAAAGACTTTTGTATTGGCTTTAGATGCAGGGATGTTTGCCTCAGTTAACCTTTACCTGCATTTTGAATGGATAACGCCTCTGCAATGGACAGTTTTCCAAGGCAGATTAGGTTTAAGGCCTGTTTCATACATCTCCTGTCTGCAGAAGCATGTTTTCATTGCATTGCTTGTGTTAACAGGTTACAGCATTCAATTTGCACGTTTAAGCAGTGTGGCACTCTAAATAATGTTTCAACACTTAGCCTACTTTTGCTGGGCTTCACTCACTAAACTAAACGCAGCAGAAACTGCATTAAGCATTTTAGTAAAACAATATTTTGTAATATACTGCACTGCAGGCTTTTCTGAAGCAACAGAAAATATGGAGTGAGTGAGTCACCCATTGTTTGATAAAAGATGTCTGTCAGGCTTGATGCGAGTTAGGACAGGTCAGAGACAACACAAACAACGCTTTCCGTTCAGTAAGTCTGATTGACTATTGAAGCAGTTTATGGTCTTTGGAGTTTGAGTTCTGCATAAGTTATTTAACATTTGGATGCAAATGTGAGCCCCCTCCCTTTGTAAAACAGATTTCACGTCATTCAAGTTTGTTTTCAAGGTACGACTTCTAACCATTTTAGATTTTACACAGTAATTATCAAAGAATTCAATGTGTTAAATCAGAAATCCCTTTAAGTTCTGTCACACTCACAATTTAGTCAGTAAGTTATATCCCTTGTTTCTTTTCTTTCGGCACTGTTAAAGCCAATAACCCAGGTACTGATGACAATACAGATAGCTCTATTACAGTAAATCGTTGTTTTTTAAAGATAATTTGCTGAAGAAAAGATTTCTGAAGTTTACAAAACACTTATAATAATTTATATTTAAGCACAAGCTCAAGACACTTCACGATTTATTCTACGACACAAAACACATCAATATTACCCGACTTGTGATTTTTTGAAGCTGTTACGTGTCTTGAAAAAGGCGGTTGCTAACAAGTGGCTAAATGGGACTAGCTACAGATGCTACACCATCACACCAAACAAGTAAACTCTGTCTACTTTGACAGCATTATTATGCTTATAATTGTGCTCTTAAAAACTTTTCTAACTCAAACTTTATGGGAAAATGTTTTTAGATAAAAACTAAAAGAGAGTTATTCGTTTAGCTTTTTACTTCTGGCCTCTGCATTTAGGCTTCAAAATTCATAAAAGTTGTGTCCGTCTGGGATAATTATCTCGATGGAAGTTTATGAAACATGCAAGTATCGTAAACTTTTGTTGATCACAGACCTTGTTTTTAGCAATAATCCAAAAGCCTATTTTGGATCTCCCCAAAATTCAGTATGCAAACTGCTGGATGGCCTACAAAGTGACGTCATAAATGCACCACGTTATGAAAACAGTCCCGAAATGCTGCCCCCTGCTGTCCAAAAACACAGAAGGCATTGTCTGGGCAGGGCAGTCCTGAGCTCCTGCCAGCACACACATTGCCTATGGGATCTAGCTGCCAGTGATGAGAACTGAACTGTGCTTGTTTACAATGCTAATCTCTATCATTCATTCTAGCACATTGTGTTCCTCTTTCTTCCTCACTTCTTGTCTTTTCACCTTTGGCTTGACTTTACTGATTACTGTACAATGAATAACCTTTATTAAATCTATTCTGAATGACAGTCGGAATAAAGTCTGTCGAGTCAATGTTTCATTCGCAGAACTGAGATAAACTGATGTTTTTCTGTTGCTTTGTTTGATGGGTTTTGGTTTTGATAGAAAGGTGGAACCACCATGAAACACGAGGTTTAGTTAAATTCAAACTATTAAATCTGTGTCTATGTGTGAGTTTTATTCCAGTCAAGACTCCTTTCAGCTGTTCTGACATCTGCCCTCAACAAGTCCGGGCATGTACAAGTCTTTCTTATTCTGTGCTGCTTTTATTTTGCTTTCTCAGAAGGTTATCAAGTTTTCAGAATGTCTCTGAACTTCTGAGAATGCATTTAACAACAATTTAGGTCATGGTACAGATTATATAACCTTTAGTCATCAACGCAATACTCTATGCACACACAAACACCCAGAAAAAGTATTTACCATTAGATTAGAGCATTTCTTATCACTAATGTAGTTTTATAAAACAAATAACTTCAAATAAATTCTGAATTGATTAGCCATGTTCAAAAAATTGATAAATGCACACCTGACATGCAGGTGGTCATGTAACATAAATGTTTTTGGTCTAAAATCGTCTTTCTGGACTGGAGAAGGATTTATGATATGATTAGTGTATTAAAATTGAACATTATTATATTGCTGATTTATGAAATGTCAAGCAGTAAGGTACAAGAATGCAGTCTCTCTTTACTATATAAGACACAGCATGTTATCTTTCTCAGGGCTGAAAAGATGAACTCTGTGGTTGTCCAACTATTTGAAATGTTCCAAAACCATTGCATGAACATTTTATCTGTGGTTTGGCTGTCTGCATCTAAAGACGCTGCAGTGAGACATACATAAATACTCTACTAATGCTTAGAAATCTCAACGACCAGAAAAGTTTCACTTTCTTTCCTTTTTCTTGCACTTTTTAACTTAAATTTATTTTAAAAAGTGGTGAATGTTTAATACATTTAAAGAACAAAATGTCTTTGTTCTGATGCTGCTTGATTTAAAATATGATTGCAGATCTTAATGGTCATCTTCTCTTACGATGATTAATGAAGTTGGTGGGTGAGGAAGGCCAGTCATGTGACGTATGAGTGGGCAGGTCTCTCTGGGCTGTATAATGATAACATGTCTGACCTGGTTTGAGATGGACTGAGGTTGGGTTTTGTGTGAAGGGCCAGTCTATTTAAAATGTAGATCTGTTACTTACAATGATTTTTTCTTTATTGATATTTGCTGATATACTACTTTGTTATTTGTTGGGAAATCAACAAATGGTCTCCTCCAGGTTGAGCAACAGGTTTTGTTCTCTTTAAGCATACCTGTGACCTCACAGTTTATTTTTTCTAATAGGCTTCTCCATAGTGTTGAGAAAATGAACACGTTGAACAGCTGTCTTAAAGGAACAGTTCATCCAGAAATGGAAATTTCATCATATACTCACCTCTTGTATGTTGTTTTCTTCCATGAAACATAAAATGTTATACAATGTGGGCCAAAAAAAAAAAGAACCATAAAAGCATCATAAATGTAGTACATATGAAAGAGGCACCTTATTCAAAGCTTGTCACATTGCTCATATCTACTCAGTGTGTATCATTGTTTTTATTTTCTTAATTATAACCTGAAATCTTGAGTCAAATAGCATAGTAGTTAGTATTGGTGGTATGGCAGAGGCTTCATCTTCATATTCAGTGAAAGCTTTGTTTAAAACCTTAAACCACAAGAAACCGTAAATAATCCATAACCTACCTAAAGGTTCTTCATATCTTCTTTTTTTATGCAGTTACACGCTTGGTCTACCTTTTTCCTCTGCACTACCTTGGTTTAATCTTGAAATTAAGACTTAATTTATACCATATTTTTGCTTTAGTACATGTGTTACGGGGTATTTATCTGTATCAGGATTACCAAAACACTCTAAAATACTGTGTGTAAAATTTTTGTGTGCTAGCGCCCTCTTTAGGATGTACCAGTATTCACTTTAAAACATCCTGTTATGACACTTTATAAATCAGGCCACATGGATAATTTAAGCATAAAGTGTGATAAAGTGTCATAACAGGATACCGCACAAAAACAGAGAAACCCTAGAAAACCCTAGGTGAATGAGATACAGTAATTGACTCCATTAGATATTAAATGTGTTACTTTCTGTTTCTCTGCAGGCCCCAAAGAGGAAGTTGTAGGTGCCGTTTCTCTTCAGAAGTTCCAAGAAAATGTGTTTGTGGAGGGTGATCGGCCTAAATATGTGTTAGACCTGCACACAGAGGCCCAGCAGGGCCTAAAAACAGCAGCAAGAGGGTAAGAAAAACGAAACTCCTAATTTTTTAGTTTAATAATTTAATTGGGTTTAAACAGTTGTTTAAACATTTAAACAGTTAATTTATTTGAGATAAGAGAGGATGTTTTATGTTCCAGATGATAGGAATGGGACGGACTACCCTGATGACCAAAGTATGATTGTAAGTGTTCCTCCATGCATCAGTCAGCCCTAAGTTCATTACGATTGCTTTTAATTATGTTCCCATTAGAGTGACAGCCTGCTTGATGCTTGTGTACCTAAACCAGGGGTTCTCAAACATTTTGGTGCCAGGGACCCCTTTCAGGGGAAAAAAAATTCCAAGGACCCCCCTCATATTTATAACAGTTATTGAGCACAAAGTTAATGTGTGAGCGGCAAATTAAATATTTTTGCACAAAATGAATGGTCTCCACCCAGGGTACTATGCAATTTCTAAATAGCCTACTGAGGTAACGAAAGTGATCTTGCTAGGAATCACTTAGGATCCCTCACTTGGGATTTTTTGATGTTCTTGATCTACACATGTGCATTTTAAGGTGTTTTAAGGCCCCACAATTGGATAACTATAGATTTAGTAGAAGCATGTCAGTCAGTGGCATACTTTTTTTTTTTTTTTTGTCAAGATGTCACGAACACAATCACATATTCCAATCAGGAATGGCTTTAAAAGAGAAATGTTTCAATAATTAGGCCTATTCTGCACACAAATAAAGCCCATAAGCCTATAAATACAATGATAATGGCATTATGTTTAATAGGTGCGTGCGTTGTTTAATTTGAGCTACTGTAATTAGCTAAAAAAAACATACAGTATATGTTAAATATATGAATCCATAATGTTAATCTCATGGGCACAGTATGTTTCTATTGACCTGCTTTTTCCTTTGTTAAAGTTGAGCTTGATTAATACTTTGCAAACTGATTGTTTCAGTCGTTTTTTTAAAACTTTTATCTAAAACAGCTGTTTAGTTTATGTTAATTTAGGCCAACATCTTATCTCGCACTTTATGACCGTTGACTGAAACGTCGTGCGGGGAACTTTGAGTTCACTCCGACTCAAACATTTTGACATTGACGAGCTATGGTTGTTAGTCTGCTGAAGCACCTCAGACGAGAAGGTCAGTTATCATCGCGATGTGCATCCTTGCAACCTCAGTTGTGGGTACGGCCCTGTCACTATGCACTTTTATTTTGATAATGATCAGACTTCTAATGTCAAATCTACAGTAGCAGTGCTGACTATTGTGCGCGCACGCGAGACGCCGGCGCGCAATTACATGGGAATTTTTCCTCAGCAGTGGAAACAGGAATACTCTTATTTATGGTCATAGATAAGACAAGAGTGCATCATCCGAAACGGTAAAGTGTCCATTTTTTTATTTGTGTATAGGCTACATTATAAATGACTACAAAATGTCATGCCTTTTAAAAATACAGAAAAGAACCGGATGCGGGTTCATGCCGTCTCTCTGTCTCCTTTCTGGCGCACGTCCCGCAAAATCAACAGCAGCGAAAAGTCTACTTGACGCAAAGACATAGATTATCTATCTATAGAAAACTTTAAGTGTCTACTTTGTATTGTTTTATGTTAAATGCTTTATATAAGTTACTTAGGAATAAACAGCATGTTTTCAGATGATAAAGAAAACATGACTCATAGCATGGAAAAAAACGTTAGGTTGTAAATTATTTCGCGGACCCCCTGGCTTTAGCTCGCGGACCACCAGGGGTCCGCGGACCCCACTTTGAGAACCACTGACCTAAACTGTTATATACTTTTAAATTGCTGATTGCTGATTTTAAATTTAGAGGGTTAATCATGCTGCTTACTTTAGTCAACAGTAACAGCACAGACTGAAGAAAGCATGGCCTTCAGTGAACTGAGAGGCTTTGAATCTGAGAGCACAGCTGCTGATTCTGTTTCGATGTGCTCCTCCATGTCTTCACGATCAACACGTTCAGGACTCAAACGCCAAGGTGACACATTCACACATGAGCACATTATCAGTCATATCCATTTTTGTCATAAGAAGACCATGGCCTGGAATCCTCATAAAGCGCTTTACAAATTCATATAAAATATGCAATGTCACAGCAACATTGTTTTCCATTTCCTTTTTCCAGCCTCAACATTTAGACCTTTGAAGCCGGATAAGACTGCTGAGAGGACTAAGTCTCGTAGAAAGCACTTGAGAACTGTTGTAGGAATTCCTCGTCACATCCAGAGAGAACTGGGTATGTTTCACTGCAGTCTTCTGTATTGTACATTGTGTATTTAAAGCTACACTGTGTAACTCTTTTAGTTTATTCTTAGCTAAAAACACTTAGTTCTTTCAAAAATATATGTGCTCATTAATGTATATTTACTTCGTTCAAGTAATAAAGCATTCTCGTGAGTGTATAATATCCCATTGAAAATACATACGGATAAGTGGTTCTAATGTCGGTCGCCATGTTGCCCCTCCATCTTGAAAGTACATTAGCCAAAGAGGGACATACCCGTTAATTCAAGCTTCGCCTTTCGCGTTTATGTTTGAGTTAACACTCATGGACGAGGTTGAACTGGAAGCCATGTTAATCTTGGACTACATTGGCCACCGTAGTAGTTAAAACAAAATCGGAATTGAGAGGAACAGAAACTAATATTCACTGGATGGTCATATACCTTTTCACCGCTAGATGGGGGTAAAAATCACACAGTGTAGCTTTAAGTTATTGAGTGGAAAACATGTTATATTGACTTATTTTATTTTTGAATATGTCATATCTGAAGGTTTGGACAGGGCAGAATGGATCACCACCAATCCTCTTAATAGCCAGCTGTCTAATGGAGACATGATAATACCCACCATATTTTCCACTGTGGATGGTGCTTCTGCTAATGTACAAGACCATCTACAGGGCAAAGAGAATCTGCACACAGTTAAGAAAGACAGCACAGAGGTTCCCGCACTGGCTATACCCAAAGATGACATAATCCAAAGGTCCTTAAATCATTATGTAGATCCAGAAAAGTTCGGAGCAGGCTCTCTATTGGTTCCTTGGACAGAGAACCCAACCGGTGCAGTCATGTCTATCTCACCTCAGGCCACATACATGTCTAAAATTATTCCAAATGCTGTCCTTCCACCGTCTGTGGATGTTGTGGAACTCAGTCGCAGCCGAAGTCGCAGCAGTGTCCGAACCGTCAGCAAGAGCAGCCTAGTGCCAGCCAGCCCAGCGTCCACCCGTCCATCCTCTAGAGCCTCTTCAAATTATTCCTCCACCCGTCCATCCTCCAGAACCTCTTCAAATTATTACTCAGCCCGCTCAAACTATTCTGGATGGAGCAGCTCAGGATCATCAGAGACACTAGTTTCTGATTCCTCCACCATCTCCAGCAGTAGCACTCCCCGTGTGGCCAGCAGGGGAAGTCAGGTTGAGAACCCGGCTAGACCAGTCAAGCTGAACAACCATGGTTCCCATGCTCCCTTTAAAACTACTCATGGAAATGGGGACTCTACAGAAGAGCAGGACAGCAGAAAAACAGGATCTGCTGATGCTTTCACACGTAACTTATCAGTGATTAAACGGAGCAAGATACCTCCAGCTCCTCCCAGCAGGTCATACTCCTTACACGGGAAGCAGACCAAGAGATCTGAAAATCCTTACTACTTGGCTGATGTCAGCACTCCAGATGGATCACCACACCCCACTGTAAAAAAACCCACTCCAGTTGAGCTAAAGACATACAGAAATAATCTTCAAAAGTCTTCCATTGGCGCACCCCATTCATACACTAATGGCACCAGTAAACTTACTGAACTGAATAATATCTTTCTGTCTGCAAGCTTAATTAATGGTAACAAATGTTCCCCTGCTGTAATGGCTCTCCGGTCTTTGTTTGACATTCCTAACCATCCCAAAGTACTGGCTCCCCCAGCTCCTCCTCCAGAGACCTGGGCTCACAACCAGCTTACTTTCAAACTGCTGTGTGGGCCTGGCCCAGTTAACTATGCACGCTGGGCTAAAAAGAGAGGTCTTAAAATTGTGGATGAACCAGACATGACCTCATCAAATGGTGACGCAGCATCAGTTTTACAGGCAGTGGAGCTAAAAGCCAAAGTTAAATCCTTAGCACCAGTCGCCAGTATCACCCCGTCTCCATCACCTCCCCCAGAACATTACCCACCAATGCCAAACATCAGCCAAGCCAAACCTCCTCTGCCCCCTCCAGACTTTGTTCCTTCAACTCCTACGCTTGTTGCCAAAGCTATAAAGGACTTAACTTCTTGGATCCCTCCACCTCCTCTGTTTCCACCTCCGGCGCTTCCAGTAGGCACAGCTTCTGAAACTCCTGTTGCTGTGCCAAATGATACCGACTTCCCTCCGCCACCCCCACCATTTTCGCCACGGTCTTTACTTATAATGCCTCAAATACCACCAGATGTTCCACCGCCACCACCACAAGTTCCACCGCCACCACCACAAGAAGTTCCACCGCCACCACCACAAATTCCACCTGCACCACCACAAGTTCCACCGCCACCACCAAAAGAAGTTCCACCGCCACCACCACAAGTTCCACCACCACCACCACAAGTTTCACCGCCACCACCACAAGTTCCACCGCCACCACCACAAATTCCACCTGCACCACCACAAGTTCCACCGCCACCACCACAAGTTCCACCACTACCACAAGTTCCACCACCACCACAAGTTCCACCACCACCACAAGAAGTTCCACCACCACCACCACAAGAAGTTTCACCGCCACCACCACAAGAAATTCCACCTCCACCAACACCACCTTCTGAACCACAGAAAATCCCACCCCCTCTGCAAGAATCCCAATCTTCAATACCCAATGTGTTAGTAGCATTATTTCCAACTTCTCAACAAATCAATGCTATTCCACCTCCTCCTCCACTACCCACTGATGTAAGATCTCAACAAGTCACTGTTCCTCTTCCTCCTCCAATACCTACTGATGTAAAAATGGAGGACAGACTAGAGACAACAGAAACAGTGAAACAGACAGGCAGTCCCTCACCGACCAAAGAGGAGACCTCCAGTCCAGTGGTCACCCAGTCTCTCTTGCAGATGGTTCGTCTAAGGTCGGTAAAGTCCAATCAGAGCCAGGCTGTAGATCTCGATAAACCATCACAGCCCAAACCAAAATCGGGAGTCAACCAAGAGGTGCCACCAAAACCAATTAGACGGTCTTTGATTATGACATCACTGCCTCCTGATGTGGAAGCTCTGTCCGGCACAGAGCCCAAAACTGAATCTGTCAAAGTGCAAACAAACACAACCACTGTACCAAATACTCAGGAAGAGTCAACTGCACTAAAGACTAAATCAAATAATATTGTTAAAAACCCCGAAAACACAAGTCCAACCACCGAGCCAAGTAACACTTCAGCTTCTACTGAACCAGCAACTAAACAACCCTGTTCTGAACCAGAACTCAAACCCCAAACACTTAAGGAAGAGATCCAAGTTACAACACCTGTCCCTGCTACCCTGCCGAACACAATGGAAAGAAAGGACCAATCAATAAGTGAGCCAAAGACTCAATTTCAGGCGCAAGAACTCAACAAGCCTCTGCAAAATCCAGAGAAGCAATCAAGCACCGTTGAAATACCCTCAAAGCTGGAGGGTGAGCAGCCCAAACCCCAAACACCAATACCCACTGTCTCTTCCACGCCTCCTGTAGTCTCTTTGCCCTCTTCCATGCGTCTCCAGGATGCTATACGTTTGAAGGCTGCCACTATGTCTCCAAAAGACAAGCAAGCCAAGCTCTTTGGTCAGCGCTCCCCTCTCCCAGTCATGGCTGGTGGTACCACTGTACCCAACTCCCCTGCATCTACAGCCAGCTTCATCTTCTCCAAGAGCCCAAAGAAGGTCGTAATAGAGACACCGTCATCCTTAGAGGTTCAGGCTGACCTGAGGAAGACTCTGGTAGCAGAGTTGGCATCTGTTTCCGATTCAGCCAAGTCTAATGACTCACACAAAACTGCTAACAAAGTTCCTCCACCTATTTCTAAGAAACCCAACACTAGGGTTGAGAGTGTTGTTCAGAACTCTGCAGAGGCAGAGTCTGTTGCCAAGACTGAGCGTGTGCAAACAGAAACTGTACAAACTGCCGGACAGGAAGTACAGACAGAGAACTATGAGAGAAAAACAAATTAACAAACACATACACAAAGGATTTAACTCTAGAGTTTTTGCTTTTTCACAGATAAACAAGGCTTTAGACCTTAGGCTCGAACTGCTTAAGCAATTTTTAAATATAAATACTTAAAAAGTCTTTATGTACAGATAGGCATATTGCACTTTTTGTACACTGGTATAGTGTAACTGATTCTCATTCATGGGAAACATGTCACTGGTATTTGGAAATGATAAATATTCTTATTTTTATTTATGTGTCCTAAGTTCTAGACAGAAGCCATGCTAACTTCTAGGACTGTAGAAAACAGCAGGAAAGCACCATGAGAATGATGTTTGTAAAACAGAGTTTACCACCTATACTCTATAGTGGAATTTTAGTGTTATTGGTGAATATAATTGCATTACAAAAGAAATGAAGGTAAAGAATGTAAGATAAAGAATGAAAAGAAGCAAAGCAAAAAAAGAAGAATGGTAAGTAGGGAGCATTGACCATGGATTTTGGGGTGGGGATGTGTGATTGCTCTTTTTTTCCCCATCTATGATGTTTGCTGTGTACTTTTTATAAGTCTATATTTTACTTTAAAAACACCAAATCAATATATGTGATTTTTATAAAATTAGCCCTCCCTGCCCCAATTATCCATAAATAGGAATGGAGACAAGGAATCTGATCAAGTGTACGAGAAACAGAATGATAGAAGCAAATGAATTGAGTATAGCTGTTTTCTCATCATTGTGACTGTGCAAGTAGGGCTAAGCTGGTGGTCACCACATAAACAAGAGGTCTAAGGTGTAAATCTCTGTTTAGTGATATCTATTGTTTAATTTGTTTTTATTTTCAAAGAGAAGTTCATTAGTTTACTCTAAGTTGATGTATATTACAGTCTACACAGACCGTGCAAATAAAAGGAAATTAATGTTTTTAATATATGATTTTTTTTCATGCACTTTGCTTACTTTTTGATTTGCTGTTCCTTTGATTTCAGCAAGCTTTATCTCCTTATTATGTTCTCTATAAAGGAGAAAATAAATGTCTTATTTACACATACAAAACATATTATCAAAGATGATAATGTTTATTAATGTTTAATGATGTTTCATCACATGGCAAGATTAAAGACTGTAAAGTTACTAAAGTAGATACATGGTGACTTCAAATCTGGCCATGTTTTTAACAGATTATACTTTTTTATTTAATATATCAGGCACTGCAATATTACATTAAAAATCATTCAAATGAAATAATACATTATGAATGTTTTACTATCACATGAATTTTGAGAACTTTGTAGTAGTCTTTAAAACACAGGTCAATATCACAAATGGTGTCACAGGCAACAGTAAAGATGTCACACAAGATTCAGGTGTAGACAAGTCAAGGTTTAGATATCATTTTCCTGCTACTGTTTAATATTTATAGAGCGATTAAAAGGGGGATACGATGTTGATTTATGAACATAATAATTCAGAATAACACTGAACAGAAGGACAGAAGTAAATAAAAAGCATTTTACATTCACAAATTTCCAAGTTTATCTGGTGTGATCATAAGTTTGGACCAAATCTGCAGCGTTGATATTGTCAGTTTCTCTCCAGCACTCCACAGAGTTTTATTTAATTGTTTATCACTGCTTCTTATTAGGGCCCGAGCACTAACAGTGCGAGGACCCTATTGAAACTGTTAGGGTTATTTTTTTTTTTTTTTTTTTTTAGGGCCCGAGCACTTACAGTGCGAGGACCCTATTGAAACTGTTAGGATTATTTTTTTTCTTTTTTCTGCAAAGTAAGTGCCATTTTCGGGGCCGCAACATGCTCAAAAACTCACCAAATTTGGCACGCATGTCAGGACTGGTGAAAAATTTCGTATTTTGTGGGTTTCGCGGATTGGCGGGGCAAAATGGCTCGCTATCGCCACCTAGAAAATTGGAAAAAATTAGCCCCTCGTCCACGTTCAACCTACATGCACGAAATTTGGTGGGGACGTGTATCATATCAAGACGCACAAAAAAGCCTCAAGAACCCATACCCTAAACTCGACAGGAGGTCCGCCATTTTGAATTTGGCGGCCATTTTTGGACGATTTACAGACTCCGTACTTTAACGAACTCCTCCTAGGGATTTAGTCGGATCGACTTAAAATTTCTGCTGTGCCTTCTAAAGGCATTGACGATGTAAAGTTGTGCTATCTGCGCGTTTTCGTCGATGGGCGTGTCCGTGGCGTCGAAGATTCGCCATGAAACAGGAAGTTGTAGTAACTTGGCTGTAAATGCCCAGATCTGCACGAAATTTTACACATTTGACAAGAGTCCCGCCCTGAACAAATCTATATGCCGACATTCACCCACAGTCATAGCGCCACCTGCTGGCAACAGGAAGTGTCCTTTAACGAAGCAGCCCCCGCCGCTTGTTTGACCGACATGTACGAAATTTCTGTGGTACTTCTACCATGACCAGACGCACAAAAAAGCCTCAAGAACCCATACCCTAAAACTCGACAGGAAGTCCGCCATTTTGAATTAAGCGACCGATTTGGGACGATTTACACACTCCGTACTTTAACGAACTCCTCCTAGGGATTTAGTCGGATCAACTTAAAATTTCTGCTGTACCTTCTAAAGGCATTGACGATGTAAAGTTGTGCTATCTGCGCGTTTTCGTCGATGGGCGTGTCCGTGGCGTCGAAGATTCGCCATGAAACAGGAAGTTGTAGTAACTTGGCTGTAAATGCCCAGATCTGCACGAAATTTTACACATTTGACAAGAGTCCCGCCCTGAACAAATCTATATGCCGACATTCACCCACAGTCATAGCGCCACCTGCTGGCAACAGGAAGTGTCCTTTAACGAAGCAGCCCCCGCCGCTTGTTTGACCGACATGTACGAAATTTCTGTGGTACTTCTACCATGACCAGACGCACAAAAAAGCCTCAAGAACCCATACCCTAAAACTCGACAGGAAGTCCGCCATTTTGAATTAGGCGACCGATTTGGGACGATTTACACACTCCGTACTTTAACGAACTCCTCCTAGGGATTTAGTCGGATCAACTTAAAATTTCTGCTGTACCTTCTAAAGGCATTGACGATGTAAAGTTGTGCTATCTGCGCGTTTTCGTCGATGGGCGTGTCCGTGGCGTTGAAGATTCGCCATGAAACAGGAAGTTGTAGTAACTTGGCTGTAAATGCCCAGATCTGCACGAAATTTTACACATTTGACAAGAGTCCCGCCCTGAACAAATCTACATGCCGACATTCACCCACATTCATAGCGCCACCTAGTGGCAAGAGGAAGTGACTTTTAACGAAGCAGCCCCCGTCGCATGTTTGACCGACATGTACGAAATTTCTGTGGTACATCTACCATGTCCAGACGCACAGAAAAGTCTCTTGGAGCGATGCCCTAAACTCAACAGTAAGTCAGCCATTTCTAATTTTACCGCCATTTTTGGATGATTTACTCATTACGTACTTTAACTAACTCCTCCTAGGGCTTTAGTCGGATCGACATCACATTTCTGCTGTGCCTTCTAAAGGCATTGACGATGTAAAGTTGTGCTATCTGTGCGTTTTCGTCCATGGGCGTGTCCGTGGCGTCGATGATTCGCCATGAAACAGGAAGTTGTAGTAACTTGGCTGTAAATGCCCAGATCCGCACGAAATTTAACACGTTTGACAAGAGTCCCGCCCTGAACAAATCTACATGCCGACATTCACCCACAGTCATAGCGCCACCTCCTGGCAACAGGAAGTGACCTTTAACGAAGCAGCGTAGCAAATGCACATCCGCACTGGCTGAGCTGCAGAAAATGCAACACGGCTGCCTCAGATCCCGACGTGCTACAGGTGCGAGGGCCCGCCCATCGCTGCTTGCAGCTTTAATTTTTTTTTTTTTCTTTTTTTTTTTTCTGCAAAGTAAGCGCCATTTTCGGGGCCTCAACATGCTCAAAAACTCACCAAATTTGGCACGCATGTCAGGACTGGCGAAAAATTTCGTATTTTGTGGGTTTCGCGGATGGGCGTGGAAAAATGGCACACTAGCGCCACCTAGAAAATTTGAAAAAATTTGCCCCTCGTCCATGTTCAACCTACATGCACGAAATTTGGTGGGGACGTGTATCATATCAAGATGCACAAAAAAGCCTCAAGAACCCATACCCTAAACTCGACAGGAAGTCCGCCATTTTGAATTTGGCGGCCATTTTTGGACGATTTACACACTCCGTACTTTAAAAAGATTTAGTCGGATCGACTTCAAATTTCTGCTGTGCCTTCTAAAGGCATTGACGATGTAAAGTTGTGCTATCTGCGCGTTTTCGTCGATGGGCGTGTCCGTGGCGTCGAAGATTCGCCATGAAACAGGAAGTTGTAGTAACTTGGCTGGAAAAGCCCAGATCTGCACGAAATTTGACACATTTGACAAGAGTCCCGTCCTGAACAAATCTACATGCCGACAGTCACCCACAGTCATAGCGCCACCTGCTGGCAACAGGAAGTGACCTTTAACGAAGCAGCCCCCGCTGCTTGTTTGACCGACATGTACGAAATTTCTGTGGTACATTGACTATGACCAGACGCACAAAAAAGCCTCAAGGACCCATACCCTAAACTCAACAGGAAGTCGGCCATTTCGAATTTTACCGCCATTTTTGGATGATTTACTCATTACGTACTTTAACGAACTCCTCCTAGGGATTTAGTCAGATCGACTTCATATTTCTGCTGTGCCTTCTAAAGGCACCGACGATGTAAAGTTGTGCTCTCTGCGCGTTTTCATCGATGGGCATGTCCGTGGCGTCGATGATTCGCAATGAAACAGGAAGTTGTTGTAACTCGGCTGTAAATGCCCAGATCTGCACCAAATTTTACACATTTGACAAGAGTCCCGCCCTGAACAAATCTACGTTTCGACATTCACCCACAGTCATAGCGCCACCTGCTGGCAACAGGAAGTGACCTTTAACGAAGCAGCCCCCGCCGCATGTTTGACCGGCATGTTCTGTGGTACATCTACCATGTCCAGACGCACAGAAAAGTCTCTTGGAGCGATACCTTAAACTCAACAGGAAGTCAGCCATTTCTAATTTTACCGCCATTTTTGGATGATTTACTCATTACGTACTTTAACAAACTCCTAGGGATTTAGTCGGATCGACTACAAATTTCTGCTGTGCCTTCTAAAGGCATTGACGATGTAAAGTTGTGCTATCTGCACGTTTTCGTCGATGGGCGTGTCCGTGGCGTCGATGATTCGCCATGAAAGAGGAAGTTGTAGTAACTTGGCTGTAAATGCCCAGATCTGCACGAAATTTTACACATTTGACAAGAGTCCCGCCCTGAACAAATCTACATGCCGACATTCACCCTAAGTCATAGCGCCACCTGCTGGCAACAGGAAGTGACCTTTAACGAAGCAGCAAAAAATTTCACAGCCGCACCGGCTGAGCCGCAGAATATGCAACGCGGCCGCCTCACACCCCAACGCGCTACAAGTGCGAGGGCCCGCCCATCGCTGCTTGCAGCTTTAATTAGGGCCCGAGCACTAACAGTGCGAGGACCCTATTGAAACTGTTAGGATTATATTTAGGGCCCGAGCACTAACAGTGCGAGGACCCTATTGAAACTGTTAGGATTATTTATTTATTTTTTTTTCTTTTTTCTGCAAAGTAAGTGCCATTTTCGGGGCCGCAACATGCTCAAAAACTCACCAAATTTGGCACGCATGTCAGGACTGGTGAAAAATTTCGTATTTTGTGGGTTTCGCAGATGGGCGGGGCAAAATGGCACGCTAGCGCCACCTAGAAAATTGGAAAAAATTAGCCCCTCGTCCACGTTCAACCTACATGCACGAAATTTGGTGGGGACGTGTATCATATCAAGACGCACAAAAAAGCCTCAAGAACCCATACCCTAAACTCGACAGGAGGTCCGCCATTTTGAATTTGGCGGCCATTTTTGGACGATTTACAGACTCCGTACTTTAACGAACTCCTCCTAGGGATTTAGTCGGATCGACTTAAAATTTCTGCTGTGCCTTCTAAAGGCATTGACGATGTAAAGTTGTGCTATCTGCGCGTTTTCGTCGATGGGCGTGTCCGTGGCGTCGAAGATTCGCCATGAAACAGGAAGTTGTACTAACTTGGCTGTAAATGCCCAGATCTGCACGAAATTTTACACATTTGACAAGAGTCACGCCCTGAACAAATCTACATGCCGACATTCACCCACAGTCATAGCGCCACCTGCTGGCAACAGGAAGTGACCTTTAACGAAGCAGCCCCGCCGCTTGTTTGACCGACATGTACGAAATTTCTGTGGTACATCTACCATGACCAGACGCACAAAAAAGCCTCAAGAACCCATACCCTAAACTCGACAGGAAGTCCGCCATTTTGAATTCGGCGACCGATTTGGGACGATTTACACACTCCGTACTTTAACGAACTCCTCCTAGGGATTTAGTCGGATCAACTTCAAATTTCTGCTGTACCTTCTAAAGGCATTGACGATGTAAAGTTGTGC